TGGCATGGCAGGCTGCAGCAGTAGGCAAAAGGATACTTCAGTGACTACTAATCAGAGGTGGAAAAAACTGTCATGATATGAAGCTAAGCAAGTGATGGAAGGAAGGAGTGAAGTAGTTGAGTTTCTAGGTAACTAGAGTTTCTGGCCAAAAGACATAAGGTACAGAGAAAAGTATCTTAGGAGGTCAAAGAGACTGCGGTGAGAGTGAAAAGATAGTCTGGATTTAAGGTAATCATATTGTATATGACTTCTGCAGTTTCAGAAGGAGGCTTCTGATTTTCACACTTTGGCACAGACAGAATATATACCACCAAAATGCACATGAGGCTCACGAAATGTTACCAATAATGGAAATGTACTCAGTATGCAGGAAAAAAATGCAACGTAGGCCAACATGCACATACTCATATCTCAACTTACCAACATACACATTCACAAGTACCAAAAGCTCTATTTGCCCCAAATCCAAATTTCCTAAAAGCTAAACCAGTAGGAATAGTTTTATCTACAAGTGTTCTATAACCAATGCATCATTTATCATAATAACAGCCCTGAGGCATTACAAGATGTTATAAGTTTATTCTGAATCTGATTAAATTGTGTCCAATGTGGCTCAATTATTTACAAATTATAATTCTTGGATATATGTTAAAGCAGTTCAACAGTTTTAACGTTTCTTCCTTAATTAGTTAATTATACTGGATATACATCAGTTTAACTATTCAAAAAGCAATGCTGGCAGGGTCTCCTGGGATCCTAAGCGTGGGGTGGGGACTCTGCCCCAGCCAGCTGGCAAGTGTGGAACCCGCTGACACCATCTGAGGACGTCCTGTCTACCATGCCACTGTGGAGCTCTCACTCCTCAACCATTCCTTGATGTTGAGTGAAGTAAAATCTATCACTGAAGTTCGTATCCTAACAGGGCTTCTCCCTGGCATTCACATTCTGAAAACCAAAACAACAGAAGAGAATACTTCACAGTTATGGTGCTTCTCCCTCTCCAGTGTGGACTCTCTGATGTTTGGAAAGATTTGACTTGCTGCAGAAGGTTTTCCCACAATGATTACACCAATAAGGCTTTTCCCCAGTATGGATTCTATGATGTTTATTAAAATTTGAGCTGTGGTTGAAGGCCTTCCCACACTCCTTACATTTATACGGCTTCTCTCCGGTGTGGAGTCTCTGATGGGAACTAAGACCTGCGTGCTGACTGAAGCTCTTCCCACATTCGTTACACTGATACGGCTTCTCCCCAGTGTGGATTCGGTAGTGTCGAATGAGGCTGCCCTTACCACTGAAAGCCTTTCCGCAATCTTTGCACTGATATGGTGCCTCTTCAGTGTGCATCCTCTGATGTTTAAGGAGGTCTGAGCTCTGCCCGAAGGCTTTCCCACACTTACAGTCATAGGGCCGGTCCACCAAGTGTGTTCTGTAATGAAGGGTGAGGTTTGAGCTGTGGCTGAAAGCTTTCCCACACTTGGTGCATACGTATGGTTTCTCCCCAGTGTGTGTTCTCCGGTGTTTGGTAAGATTTGAGCTATTGCTAAAGGCTTTTCCACACTCGGCACATATATAACGTCTCTCTCCTGGGGCAGGTTTAGTAGGAACTGATCCTGTACCTTTCTTGGAGCCTGTGTCTTGAAGGGGGGTTTTTGTGCCTCTTCCCTTTTCAAAGTTTACACGCTGCCTTTCTAACCTGGCCTCACGTTTATTGGCAATAATCATGGGAATGGTATCTCTTTTGAGTCCATCTGCACAAGATTCTTCTTCAGAACCTTTCTGCTCATCGGTTGCTTCCTCATTCTGGGTATCTGACTTACAATCTGAAACAGTAAGTAGAGTAAGGATATGTCAGTTGTTTCCTGTTCTGAGGAGGAAACTGTTATCAGGGAAAAAGGACCATCAGATGACACTGACAGACTCTGAAGGGTGACTAAATAAACCTTTACAAGAGGTTGCAATATCACATTGATACAAGGAAATCATCATCAAATCTAGTTTACAACACCACTTTCACACAAGCCCCCTGCAGGGAGCTGTTATGGTATGGTGAGTATGCAGCTTTTTCTGCCAGGAAATGAACTTCAAATGCAGAGGGCAAAAAGAAACAAGTCAGAACGATCGCTGACGGACCAGAGTTGATTAAAGAAAATGGCAACGCAATTAAGGGAGAAGCGGCTGAGTGACAAACTCACAAAACCCATATTTCTCACAGCAGCTGGACAGAAATGCAATCAAAGAGGACATTCAGCCATTTATATCATTTCAGCCCCAGATCCTTATCAGCTGGAATGAAAGCACTTTACCCCTGTGAGGGTTTAACTCTCACCATTCAACTGGCTGTGTCTTGTAATTTAGTTATAAAGTGACACTTACTGTTGGAATTGGCTGGAACAAGTTTGTCTCCTTCAAACATCTCACTAGGCAGTTCCACCCCCTCAAAGTCCATCTAGCCACCCACACGCACAGAAAAGGGAGTTAAGAGAAATTCACTCCGAAAAATGGGCTCCCTTCGAGAACCATCATTCCTCTGAGGGTACCGAAGCTTTAGCCAGCAAGGTACCTTTCTTCTAAGCCCTTTCTTCCTTTCCCGAGGAACTGCCCTGACAGTCTCTCTCACTCTCCACCCAACATTCCGTTTCCCTCCTCTGCCAACAGTGAGCACCAGCTGCTTCCAGGTTCATCCCCTCCTCCCCATCTGCTGGTGACCAGAGCCACAGCAGCTAAAGGCCTTTCACGCTCCATGAAGAGACATCACCTGGCTATATGCACAGACTTCCCTGCAAGGTACTGCAGAGCCATGGGCTACATGCGTGGGAAAGATGTAACTTAATATAACCTAATGAGGTAAGGTTGAAAAAGAATTTACCAGGATCATTTATTTCATTATCTTCCAGCTTGCACTGTTACTGTTGGGAAGTTTGCTATCAGTCTAATCGGCATTCCTTTGTGGGGCAGGCAATCTGTCTTTTATATCTTGGTTATTTTTTTTTTTTTTTTTTTGAGACAGAGTCTCACTTTGTTGCCCTGGCTAGAGTGAGTGCCGTGGCATCAGCCTAGCTCACAGCAACCTCAAACTCCTGGGCTCAAGCAATCCTACTGCCTCAGCCTCCCAAGTAGCTGGGACTACAGGCATGCGCCACCATGCCCGGCTAATTTTTTTTTTCTATATATTTTTAGTTGTCCAATTAATTTCTTTCTATTTTTAATAGAGACGGGGTCTTGCTCTTGCTCAGGCTGGTTTCGAACTCCTGAGCTCAAACAATCCACCCGCCTCGGCCTCCCAGAGAGCTAGGATTACAGGCGTGAGCCACCGCGCCCGGCCGAGAATGCTTTTTAATAAGGCTCAAAGTTTTGTTTCCAAGATGGAATTTCACATGTCTGGGACACCGTAAGTGTGTGAGGCGGAGAGATTTCTGAGGGCCGTGGACTCTTCTCATGAAATCACACCATACACATAAAGAGTGGCTTATACCAACTACACTTAAATCCTAGCTCAAAGCTATTAAGATTTAGAATAATGTACCTCATTTTTACAAACATAAAATTAAACATTAACTTCATTTTAAGAATTTAGTTATAATCCACCAGGTAAATGAAGGTGTATAAAAGTAGAAACTGTTAGTGCAAAATGACATAGGAGGATAATCATTTATGGCATCTGAGATTGTTCTGTAAATTACGATTTGTGGAGATTCGAGCTGGGGAGTACAGTCACCCTGATATACCTTTGACTTCTGAAAAAATGCTCCCCCTCTTTCCACAGCTTCACTAAGGAGGCTGCCAATTATTATCCATTTGCCCTCCCCAGATCCATTCTCAGCCCCGCTCTGTTCCCCAGGAAGCTGACTCAAAGGGCGGCACTGCCTCATTTCTCCTGCCCTCTGGCTGTCAGTTGGGTTTGATCTAAGGGCAGTAGGAGGGTGAAGTTGGGGTATTTATTCCCTCTGTTCTCTCCTCACCCAATGGCAGGGCCTACAGCCACAGCCGCTATCAAGTGATCTCTCCCCCATGGCTACAGCTCTCATCAGGTTCTGGTAACAGGTCCCCTCCTCTTGTCCCTTTAGGCTCATGGGTAGTAATAGCTTTTCATGGTTGTCTGGTGAAGCATTATCCTTACTGGTTCAGTCAACCTATCTACATTTCCATAAACGCTTCCTTTACTAAACTCACTTCAACTGACCTTTTAAGAGTGATCCATTCCCATGCGAGGACCCTTGCTGAGACAGCTGTACCTGGGGTAGGAAAGGGAGCTACTTCCACCTAGTCAGCCCGACAAGCCGAGCCAATCCAGGAATCACCTCACAGCTAGGAATTATGAATTATTCTGCTTCTTCAACCACGAAGGCCTGGGGCATTGGACAGGAGCCTGACAGATGGTCCTTACCTTGAACCGCTGTTGGATCTTGAGTGAAATTCTGCTCCTCACCAGTCTCTTGGATGTACAGGGGCCCCCAAGATTCGTATTTGTGACTGGTCTCCACAGGCTGTGGCTGCACACTGCCCAGGGACTTCTTCGTTGTTCCTGAAGATGACATCTTCTCCCATGCCTGTTTTTGTTTACTTCGAGGAGTTGAGACCTAAAACAATTAGGAACGGCTGCGTTTGTGAACAGCTCACTTAAAGAACTAGAACAAAAATCTCAGGACAGCTATGTAGAACCTCTAGGAAAGAGAAAAGAAAAAACATCCATCCCATTTAATCCCCAAAGCTAAAGGATAACAGAAGAAAAATAGGAAGAAACATGGTCTAACTCAGTAGAAACTTCCATTCAGTTAATCTTACTGTATGGAAAAACTCTTGGTCCTGCCTAGAATGTCATGCTCCCAATCTCCTAGAATAAAAAAAGCCTCCCCCTGCCTACCTGGTGTCCTGGTTCATCCAGTTCCCGCTCCAGATCTTCGAGGAGAGTGACGGCCTCTTCAGCGCTCTCCGGGCAGTGCTCCTGCACCCAGGCCTGGAGTTCCTGAGGCAGGATGGTCAGGAACTGCTCCAGCACCAGCAGCTCCAGGATCTGCTCCTTGGTGTGGATCTCAGGCCTCAGCCACTCACAGCATAGCACTCGGAGTTGGCTCAGGGCCTCCCGGGGCCCTGGAGTGTCATGGTACCCAAACTGCCTAAAGCGCTGGCGGAACATCTCCAGGCTAGGAAGGCACTTTCCTTTCTCCTCGTCCTCGACTTTCACAATCATTGGCCCCACCTGCTCCCGTGGAGGCCTCAGGCCCAAGATGGTGCCCATTCCCAGTACCTTGGTCATCATATAAACTCCAGAAACAGTCTCACTAAAGATGGGACTCTGTGGAGCAGGAGTATTAGTTCCTTTGGGTTTCTGGTTCTTTAGGGCCACACGTTTAACCTAAGAAAATAAGGTTACCAAAAAATTATCAAAAAGAAGAGTGTTTTTTTGGTCTTTGTGGCCTTACCTTAAGCACCTGAAATTGTGAAAATTATGGCCACCATAAAACTACCATATAAAAGTGACTGTTCAAATCTTCCTGGAATCACCTCAGGATATCCTACTTTGATTTTACTGTTTCCACTTTCCTAAAAAGTGTAGTGTGGCACAATTTTAAAATTAAATTAACTTTGCTCAAAAACTTGTTTCAGAATCTCACAACTATAGATATCCTAGTTTCTGAGATTTCAAAAAGCCATCTACTGGCCAAACATCATCTGTTTAAACCTAAGACATTTAGCTTGAACATTAAAAATTTACTATTCAAATGACTGGGCTTGTCAGTAGGACCAGGTATCATGTCAGAATGGTGGAATTTACTGCTCTATTTAAAAATAATAGAGCAGTAATAATTTTGAGTATAATTAGTGATGTGATTTTGAACTTCACTTGGCCCATTTCAAGTAGGGCATCCTCAAGTTTTTAAAGTTCCTTTAGCTTTTTACAGAAAGGCAGGTGGAATACAGAGAGATTAGACTAAAGTAGCATATACTCTTCTACAGATATTTATTTCAATAAGGTATGTTTTGTTGAGAAGAAATTGAGGGAAAAAATTAAATCATAATAAATGATACAAACATGGCCGGGAACAGTGGCTCAAGCTTGTAATC